CCGGTTGATAAGAGCAGAATGTAAACTGTTACGCAGTGTACTTCAGTCGCATGGATTCCAAGAATCATTCAATCATCTGGGCAGATTTAACCTACTGTGGACAGGATCGCATCTAAAACCCTGTCAATTGCGAATGCTCACGGATTTTCACAAGGTGAATCACTTCCCACGGTCATACGAACTGACTCGAAAAGACAGATTGGCCAAGAATGTGCAACGAATGCAACAAATAAAAGGACTACGGCAGTTTGACTTTGTACCCCAAACCTATATCCTTCCGGAAGAGTTTCGTGACTTTTGCAAAGGTTTTATGCAAGATAAAGGCCCATATATAGTAAAACCAATCGCTTCATCACGTGGCCGGGGTATTCATATAGTTTCGCATCCGGAAGAAATCCCATATGAGGAACCGGTTATCGTTTCCCGGTACATTTCTAACCCTTTCTTGTTGGACGGATTCAAATTCGATGTCCGCATCTACGCAGCCGTAACTTCCTATGAACCCCTTGTGGTGTATATCTACGAAGAGGGCTTGGTTCGTTTCGCCACCGTTAGATATCAGGTGGGGAATAAGCATTTGAAAACACAATGTATGCACTTGACCAATTACAGTGTGAATAAAAAAAACTTTGAATTTGTTCAAAATGACGATGCGAATGTGGAGGATTTTGGAAACAAATGGTCATTGGGTGCACTTTTGAGGTAAGTTTTCTGTTTGCTACGATATTTTTGTGATATATTCCTTCGTCAGCTACATAAAACTTTGTTTCAGTGTCTCAGTAAGGCAGCTTACAATAGTCAAAAGCCATATTTGCATGTATCACTCCTGCAATATATCCTTGAGATCAGGCTCCGAATTTGCTCTTCGAAGCAACCTACTGATGAGTGAATTAGTAGTAAGGATTGTGATTTGGAAATATTACTGAAATAAACTGTTGCTCTCGCTGCGATGACAGCAATACCCGGTGGAAAATGAATAGCTGTCTCTATCGTACTGAAACTATTCTATTAACGATAAGAGAACCGCTGCAGATAGATAAAAACATACCGTCGGATTTCGAACCTCGTTCTTTACGCAGCATTGACCGGAAAAGCAATGCCGATGTCAGGTTAATACAGGAATGATTAGGTCGGGTGTTACTCATGTCACCGGATGCTTTGTGAGGAGCATTGTTAACCGTACTATAGCTTAGTGTGAAGGTATGAATTTGTCAATCAGAGCGCTTGATTATATACGCCGTGTTAGGTTTTACGTATAGAGACTGTCGTTATTCTCATTTAACTCACAGTTACTTGTGAGAAGTGGTGTGGTATAGGTGATACTGATTTGAACCGATCATCCTTCAGACCTTAACTTCACGCACATTCCTCAGCTCTGCCAGTCAACCCTACACTCGGAAGCACTGCACTCGAGTTTCCCTCCAAACTCAACCTCCCTTTTTAAAGTCAATTATACATCTATTGTACATCAAAGAAATAAGGAAGTAGACGCTATAACACTCGACTTTGCGTAGAACCCAAATTGGCGGTCAAAAGACAGCAACCGAAACCGGCGCACTAAAGTGTATTGTTAATGGTTTTAAAAAATGAAACTGAAACATAGAATTTAACATCCGGTTTTATGCAATCACATTGTGGCTGTTTTTGTTCACCCTATAACTATTTATAAGCGTATCGCACCAGTCTTGTGTTCAGTTACACATGAACTTGTTACCGCATCCATATAGAATGAAATTCATTTTTGGATTCATTCAATCCCCCCATTGTTCAAAGTTGCGATGAGATGTTTGACCGATGATATTTCTCACACCCCTGCATGAGACTTGCGTTGATCATGCGTGTAATCGTTTTCTTAAAGGTGGATTGCAGTCAATACAGGTATATATATATATATCACGATATGTATCTGTTCATGGTTCTTTTATCTCGGTCTTTGATGGATTTAAGTTGGTGTGAATCAAGATATGTATATATCACTGGCTTGCGAACAAACATGGTGCCGACGCAATAACAATAATAAGGGAAATTATTGTATTAGAAGAGTGACATGGAAATCAAATAATTACAATGGATCGAAAAAACAAGAAAAACAGTGTTGTCCGTTCATTTCACTATACGCTCCTAATATTTTTGTGTTATTTGCTCGTTTTTATAAGGCACAGTCAGACCGCACAGTATTCGCGCTACTGATTTCTATTCTGGGTCATATCTCTCAGCTTCTCCAACCCACGCCACTCTTTATCCTCTGGACCCCAACCTGTTAGGCGTGTTGCACCAACCGAATCCAAATCTGAAACCAACCTCGTCATACTTCTAGCCATACCATGGTCTGATCACCTCGGAGCTTCTTCCAGCCTTGTCCATCATATGACTAGCTTTCTAGTGACTAGGCGGTTGCTGATTTTCGTCAGAACCTGTCACTAATGTTTGCTCACGTTCGTTCTGGATATCCGTCCCAAGAAGAAACAGAACCAAGGATTGGGTTTGTAGAAACGATATATTCTGAAACTTCCAAAATATTGGAATTAATTGGCTAGGCCTAGACTGTTATTTAAGCAACGACAGCGGAAACCTGAAAGTAGATCTGATCAGCGCAAGAAAAGCGTGCGACACAGAGCTCACCATAGGGAATCGTGCCGGTGCGGTCTTTTCGAGCTCATTAAAAGCACGATAGTAGTTAAAGCAAAACTTAATTCCTGACGTGTCCAAGTTGCTATATCTAGTGAAGAAACGTTCTCCAGAAGATCGATATCGCCGAATAATGGCGATACGTGCTGAATCTCAACGGTACACTTGATTATGCCCGGTAGGGAAGAAGGGTCCTTATGTTAGAAGGAAAAGAGTAACGGTAGTTTAGCTTTTGTCATTAATCTAACTGATCGATAGGCTAAGTCACTACTTGATATTGAACCCTGATGGTTCTGACAAGTATGCCATGGTTACGTAACTATGTCCTGATAGTCCTCAATTATACAAGACTTGTTAGAAACTGAACCTGTCCTGATGCTAGTCACCAGCGTAGGGTGAAGGTTCTACTGGTCCGTGATTCGATGATCACGTCCAGCTTAAATGGAGCTACCAGGAAACTTAGAGAAAAACAAGAGGCAAGAAGAGAAAACTGTTGTTGCGAAACCGTCGGTTGAAGAACCGCAATAGCTTTAATAGGAATTGCTATTACACTCTGAACAGGTAATGATTTAACTATCTGTACATATTTGCCAGATAATACCTCCCTCAGATTTGTACTCACATCAAAGTAATCTTTACAGATCTACCACTTGATATCGCCTGTCTGGTGTCCTGGTTGAAACCGCAGCATGTGCTCTCGTCGGTTGTCCTGTCAGGCTCGAAAAGTCCTAGTAAGGCAACAGGTTGCAAAACCCTACAGTGTGTTTATCCTCTTTACAATGTCAAATAACTTCTCTATCATACAGCAAGACTAGTCAAATCATTTTTTCGACTTTTTACGATCCATGTGGTGTCACATTGAAGATAGATTATCATTACNGGTTTGGAGAAGCCGAATCAATTTCCAGCAGATAATGTTACAATGAATCAAAAATCCGATAGCTGAGGTAATCAAAGTTTTCTGGTGATCCAAACCACTCGTTAGACATGTACACATTTTCATACATGGAAAAAATTCAAATAACGCTTATGGTAGGGTATTTACTTTGAAGAAGACAGTCGCTGTCATACAATTTTATAGTAACAAAATTAAGAATAATTCAAAACTGAATAGTTATTACTGAGATTCAAGCATAACTGTCAATAACAAATAATATTAATTCTGTACACCTCGTTCACGGATTCCAATTAACCCAGTGAGGC